ATATCCAATTTTCAGCTTTGAACTTTTGCACACCAGTGTTAGCATTCACTGATTTTTTTTGTCTGTCTGAAACTCGATCTCTGTCTCTTACTCTGTAGAAAAATTACTTTAAAATGCATCAAAGACTTCAATGTAAGGCCTAAAACTTTGAAACTACTAGAGGAAAACACAGGGAAGACCCTTGAAGAAACAGGCATAGGTAAATGCCTTTTTGAGAAGACATCCAATTGCTCAGGAAATAAAAACCCAAATTGACAAATGGGATTGTATCAAATTAGAAAGCTTCTGCGCAGCCAAGGAAGCAACAGAATCAAGAGACTCTACTACAGAACGGGAGAAAAATGTTTGCCAGCTATTTATTGGATAAAGGATTAATATCCAGAATATATATATAAAACTCCAAAAGTTAAACAACAAAAGAATAAACAATCCAATTGGTCAGTGGGCAAGTGAATTGAACAGAGAGTTCTCAAAAGCAAAAACACAGATTGCCAATAAACACCTGAAGAAATGTTCAACATTCTTAGCCACAAAAGAAATGCAAATTAAAACTGCACTAAGACTCCATCTCACCACAGTCAGACTGGCTATCATCAAGAAAACAAACAGCCCAATCTGTGGGAGGCTGAAATTGAGAGGATTGTAGTTCCAGGCCAGTGTGGGCAAAAAAGTTTGCAAGACCTTATTTCAATGGAGAAAAAGCTGAGCATAGTTGCTATGGCAGAAAGCTTAACATAGGAGGATTGCTGTCCAGGCTGGCCTGGGCAAAAAAGCAAGACCCTAACTCCAAAATAACCATAGAAAAAAGGGCTGGAGTTATGGCTCAAGTTGGTGGGAATGTAAATTAGTGCATCCATTATGGAAATCAGCCTGGTGGTTCCTCAAAAAACTAAAAATAGAACTACTATGTGATCCTGCTATACTACTCCTGGGCATATAACCAAAGGAATGTAAGTCATCATATACGAGACATACCTGCACGCCCATGTTTATACAGCACTATTTACAATGGCCAAGCTATGGAATCAGCTTGAGTACCCATCAACACATGAATGGATAAAGAAAATGTTACCTATACACAATGGATATTTTTCAGCCATAAAGAACAATGAAATTAGGTCATTTGCAGGAAAATGGACAGAACTGGAATCATCATATTAAGTAAAATAAGCCAGTCTGAGGAAGACAAATACTTTATCTTCTTTCTCATGTGCAGAATCTAGACCTAAAAAACAAAATGAATGACATGCGTGTAAAAGGCGGAACTGATTGGGGAGTGAGAAACAGTGGGAGTGAAAAGAGAAGCTTGGCGGGGGGATATGATCAAAGTACTTCATACACATGTATGAAAATAAAATAATGAAACCTGTTAAAATTCTTTAATAGGCTGGGCAGGTGGATCGACCAAGAGAGCCCCTGCCTAGCAAGATCAAGCCCCTGAGTTCAAAATCCCAGTACTGCCAAATAAAAATTATTTAAAAATGGGAAGGGAGGTAGGATAGAGTAATAGGGGGTACATGTGATCAAAGTACATTATTTGCATGTATGGAAATGTCACAATGAAACCACTTTGTACAATTAATATATGCTAATAAAAAAGAGATAAAAGTTTTTAAAATTGTATGTTTATGCATTAAAAAGGATACTTTCACTTTAATGTATTTTTAATGTTTGAATATTGGAAAATACTTTTTAAAAAGTCTACCTTTTCCATGAAGCAACATTCTAGTCTATGACAGTTTGGAATTATGTCCATATCCTTTTCACTCTACAGAATAGATTTTGGATAGTTGTACTTAAGTTTTGTCTTTAATATGCTTTAATATTTGTGAACAAAGTAACCCACAATCTTATAACCATTTAAGCCCCCTGAAATATTTACATGCACATATATTCTTAAGGGGAAAAGGAATATTCTTCCACAGCTTAGAGTCTGAGCAGTACTGTCTAGTAGTTTCACTAACATAGGATTGTTGTCTTGCTTTAACTGAGTCATTATCTTGTTCTTTATAATTTTTTAAAAATCATTTTTAAGTATAGTTATTTATGGAATATTTGGAAGATACTAAATCAGCACAAAAATACAAAAACATAAAATTCACTTATAATTACCACCTAGCAGTAACTAGCTTTAATATTTGGTGTACATGTTGTTAATTTATGGATAAGCAGTGCTCATAGTATGTATAATAGAACCATGCATACTGTCTTGTACCTATATTATTATTTTTTGATATTTCTAGACTTTGAGCTCTATTTTACTAAGGCAGTTTTTCATTTACTACTATGTGCCAGTATATGAATTACTTCTAAAATAAGAACTATGAAAGACTACTGCTTAGGAAATTACTTTGAAAGGACTTGCCAGAATTTACTTTTAGATTTGAACCTTATGTGCTAATGACTTTGTTAATATTTTCCCATTGTTTTGAACCATCCTATTTTAAACTTGTTAAGATTGGTCCTTAAGACATTAAATACAGAGGGACAAATCATCATGCTTGAAACATTTTCAACAGATGATATCACAAGTTTAGTGTTGACTAAGAATGTTTCAAAATATTAACAGACTAATTTATTTACAGAGAGGGCCTAAACCAAACTTGTTAATGGCTTGTTTTAAAGACTGTCTCCAAATATGAGGGTTGTCTGAAGTTGAACAGCACTCCCTTGTATCTGTATCGCTGTTTGCTTCTTTTTTTTTTTTTTATCACATTTTACTCTCCTGTTAGCTGTGTGGACATTTTTTTGCTCTCTGGCATTTGGATAGTTGGGTTTTTTTCAGTGCTGTCTTCTTCCATAATTGTAAGATGATAAACTGTTGATGCCATATTATCTTTTTTCCATGCTGCCAGTATATTATTAAGTAGAAACAAACATTATATGCTTCAGTGTATTCAAATTTTGTTAAGCTAAGACATTCCACCTTTCTAAAATTACAAAATATTTGAATATCTATGAAAGTGAATAGCCTGCATCATTTTCATTTTGATTTTAGCCAAGTCATCATTTTCCCTGATTATTTGTATTTGTAAATAGAACCTGTATGGTGGTAATCTACTTAGTTCTTTTATATTAAATTATTTATTCAATTTATTTTAATGGAATGACTTAGGAGGGCACTGTTTCATGGGAGGAGGCTAGGAGAGAGGAGAGTGCAGGGTCATTGAGTTAGGTTAGAAAACAATTTGGCATCTTTTCTCTGATGGGTAGCATTGCTTTCATTTCTTTGTGCATTCATATGTGTATGCACGCACTTGTGTGAACATGTGTTGGGGAATCTAACCCAGGATGGTACATGCCAAACACGTGGTCTACCACTAAGCTACATCCCCAACCCCTCTTTCTTAGGATGAAAAAAAAGGGCTTTAAGGATGTGGGCACTGAGAAACATCTTTTCTGTTGTAGTAAAGAGCCTCTGAGAGTTGCTTTTCCTCCCCAGTTGATTTAGGACTATAAGACCGGAAGCGAGTATAAGGATGAAGCCGGAATGCTCATCTAGCTGAGAGAGTTCTCTGACACTTGATCATCCTTTCCAGTTTCTTCCTCTTTGATAGCATGGGTCAGATGTTGACTATCCTTCGCAAATATTTATTGATGGAATTGTATTCCAGATTTAGCAAACTTACGGATAGTTTTGTGTATTTGGCCATCATTTCTCTCCCACTCCTCATCACCTATAGATCTTTAAATTATTTTATAGAAGGATGTTTTATCACTTTTCAGTTATCAGAATTATCACTAGGGGAAATAATATAATTTGTATATAGAACTATGAAGGTTTTCTTCTTCAGCATTCACCTTGGAGCTCTTTGGATTTTATTTTAATTATGTATATGCAGGGTTTCCCACTTGATGTTAATAGCAAATGGGAGAAAAGTAAGAAAATAATAAATAAATAGTACAACTTCTGTTTATAATTAGTCTTAACCATTTGTGTTCAGACTTAGAATGATACTGTCTGTAGTACTCTCTACCTCAAAGCAGACTGTGGATATTAATTTAAAGTTGAAAGTAGCTCTATTAAATATAATAAAAGGCATCATCTGTTAGTGATAGGTCTAGGTATAAATCATTCTTTCCTTCACCTTTGTGATAGTGTCAAAGAAGAAAATTAATGACTTGAATTAGTACCAGCTAGTTAGTGTGGTGATTACAGTTATGTGGATGTTTGTCGTTTATGACTTCCATTGGGATATCTAGATTAAAAAGAAACTTGGAGGATTGTTCTCATAACATAATTGTACACAAGTGGTGCTGAATATTGCTGAATGGAATAAAACTTCAGAATAATAACATCATCCCCAGGATGCCCCAGTGGTGTTAAAATGTAAATAAGCAGTATGGAATTCATAAAGGGCCCTATTTTACTGTTCTGAGTATTCAGTGGTAACTTGTTTTCCCCTTCGTTGTCCAAAATAGGTTAATCCTCAACCATTGACTGACCCTTAAAAAACTTTTTTTGGTATATTCGTGTTAAAGAATATCACACAAATGATCTGTTTTTGAATTTAAGGAAGGTCTGGGTTTCTACTTTCACAAGTACTGCATTTGTATTTGAAAAGAATCTTGCATTGTTTAAAGGAAAGTATTTTTGGTTTTGATAGGAAAATAGCTGGATGCCTACAGGCATTTGGGAGTGGGGTGCCTTTTCTTGGTAGGTTGATGAGTTTGCTGTGGTCAGATGGTATTTCATCTCTAAAGTTGGTTATGATCCCGACAGTGGGGAAATCAAAGGTGTAAATAAAACCATTAAGATCATGACTTCTGTCTCTTGCCATGTTTGCATAGAGTCTTCAAGTCTAGCTTAGTTAACTTTTCTGAGATTCTAATAGGAGTACTCCTCAGGCATTCATCTTTAGTAATATCTTATTTTTCCTTTGGTGCCTGTCTTATCATGAGCTAAGGTTTACAGAAAATGTGAAACAGTGCTTGACCTTTCTTTTACAGAGGTTCATTTACCACGAAAGTGTATTCATAGATGTTTTCTCTTATTACAGATTGAAACCGCAGAAGATTATACGTGTTCTTCTTTAAAAGAGGAAATCTGTAAGTCTGCATCCTTTAGAAATTCTAAGTGTGTAATTGTATTGAATTTTTGATAAAATTATGGGACTACACTAACCAGCATGTGGACTCTTTTTATAGTGGAAAACCCCATTAGTATTTATGGTGGTGTTAAAAAGGCAATATTTGTAAAAGTAAAATAGGAAAACGTTTTATTCTATGCGGCTTCTAAAATTTAAACCATTTGCTATTCATTTATAAAAAGGCAAGTGGTAACTAAAATCCTAATAAGTTCTTTCTCTTTGAGTTATACCCAAAAATGGAGTCACAGATTAGAGCTAAAATTCTGACTATTAAGGTGTATAAGCTCTGTGTCTTTGGCAAGCTTCTCAGTGTTCCATTGCCTCAGTTTCCTCATCTTAAAAATGAATGTAATAGCAAGCACCCAATCAATGGCTCATTACTACTGAGGAAGTAGTAATCTGTAGCAGTTTATATTTGCCTCAGTAAATCATAGCTTCTTCCAGTTTAGTGGCTATTTCTCAAACTGATTTAAGTATATATCTGATCTTCATAAATTTGTCAGCACTACCCATCACTGAGGCATCTACTGTAGACCATGATATGGAATAAAAAAAACACTGAAACTTAAAAATTATAGTGTTTAACCTTGGGCCTTGGAAATTACCTAGTCTAGTGGTTCCCAAATATGTTGATCTTTAGACCACTGCTGGCTGGTGAAGAAGTTTTCACAAGTTCATGGTGAAGTGAGGAAAAGAACACTAGGTTGTGAGGTTTTTAAAGCTAAATATTTTAAGTTTAAAGAGTTGCTGCTTCTCATAGGATATATCCTTCTAATTTGGGGGGAGATAAACACAGTCTTTATTTTATAAAATGATAGTTATAGTAAATGGTAGGGCTTTTTAAATATCCAAGCCTGGCAAAAATTGGCAGCTCTGTGTCATTTCCTCTCACCCTCTTTAAATATTTTTAAATTGGTCTTTGATATCTTAAAATCTGAATCCAACTTTATTTTATACATGAGAAGCTATTTAATTTGTCCCAGGTCTGATAGCTAAGCAGCTCTCATGCTGTCTCTCTGGTATTTCTAGCCTTCTGATAGTTGCTTCCATTATAATAGGTTATGAATAGAAGATATTGTAGTTCTTTTGTGGTAATAACTATTTTTGATTTCCAGGCATAATGAAATTCAAAAGACTTAATCTTATCTAGATAAGTGCTGAAGTTCACTGATTAGCCTGCATTAGAAGAATCTTAAATATATATGGCTGTAGATTTTCATCAGCAAGCCAGAATTAGCTTTCTCTGAATTCAGCCATATCAGTAAGGTTAGCATTTCCTTTGGAAATTGGCAGACTGTGGTACTTTGTGAAGGCTAGTATATCAAGCTTCTAAAGTTATTTTCCCATGGAGAGTACTGTTTTCTTCTATACATACACACCTACACACACACACATACGTGTTTATAGCATCGGCCTGCAGCAATTAGTCTTACCCAATCCAATTCTAGATTGGCTAGAAGAGAAAAAACTATCAAAGTGAAAAATAGGATTTGTCAAAGCATTGGCAGAACATCTGACCAGTTGTGTTCAAGAGTTTACACATAGTTCCCTGTAGCACTTTTGAGGTTCTCCATCAATGGTCATAACTTTGCCTCAACTATCCCAAAATATGTTTAAAAATGGAAATAATTATGTCATTTATCACCCTGGCCTCACTCACCTTAGTGAAGCATGGGCCAGGTGTAGAATGAATATGATGAGAGAGAACAGCATGGAACGTATTCCTATCCCAGCCATGGAGATGTTAACATTAGTGTATTTAGCTTTGTATGGCTTCCTTCTTCAGTTAAGAATTTGTTAATTTCTGAAATGTCAGATACATCCATCATGAAATGTTAAGGATAAAAATGACATTTTGCACTATTTTCTATCTTTGGAATATATGCTCTTTTCTTTACTAGTGCTAATATGTGAGCATTGACTATAAGCTTTCAATATTTAACTGATTTATCAGTCTTTGAGTTCTTAGTATTGTCTCACAAGATATGCCTACTACTGATGAGCACATTGAGCTCTTTAAGAAACCACAATACAGTTTCGCTGGAGGGCAATTAGGCAGCTGAATTTTAGTGGCTTAATTGCCACTGTATAAGAAATAGTTTGACTGTGTTGTGACTAACTTTTAGCAGTATAAAGTACTGAGAAGCAACACTGGCAAAGAGCCATCCTATTGAACTGCCTTCCCTTCTAGAAAATGGGGAGGGCAGGTCATGTGGTTAAAAAAAAGTCCTACTTGCAAAATTCTCACTGTGATACAATGCTAGTCCTGTTGGGAGTACTGCTTATTAGAGATTTTGGATCCTGCACTCATTGTTGGCAGCCCTCAGTTGTATTACTTTATGATAATAAATATGTACGATGACAGGAGATAAATGTATAAATTATAGATATATACTCTGTATATTCCTTACTTGAAGAAAACACATTTATTATACCTATAAGTATGAACAAAATGCAAGTCTACGCCATGGTATAATTGGGCAGTTTATTTTAGCAGCAAGGTTTTGTGTACAGGGACCTATAGCAATTACTCCTTAGCAGCAGTTGTTGAACCATGATATTGTCATTGTGCTATCTGCCTCTTACATCATTGAACCATTTGTATTTCTCCCTAAATACCTAACTCCCAGACTTAGTTTTTCTCTCATTTAATAAAGTTGGATTGTAACATCATGCTTTGCCAATAAGTGCTATTTTCTAGCACAATTTCTCTTCAAAATTCCTTAGGCTTTGGATTATATACAGTCAATTTCTAACTTAAGAAATCTACATATTTAAAAATCAATCGTCTCTATTACTAAAATGAGGAATAGATATATAATCATAGACAGTGTATGTAAAGTGTACAAACAGAACATTGTCTCCTAGATCTCCATATTTCAACATATAGAGATAGGATCCCAATTATATATAGCAACCTATGACCTAGAAAAAACATTATCTGATGAATCCTGGGGTTGTTCTTAAGGCATTGTGGGAGGGAGGAAACTTACATTAGAGCATGAAATAGCATCTTCAACATGGCTGCGAAGGTGCTTTCTTTGCTGGGAAAAGCTGGGAAGAGACTGGTAGGATGGCAACCTCAGGAGTTAATACCGCTCCAGGTGGTAAACAGGTTTGGTTAATCTTGTGAGAGACGCACCCAAAGATCAGTCATAGCTGTAAAATGCTTTCAGTCAAAAATAACTAGGCACAGGTGTAATGTGTTGGTGTGGGACATGGAGAATGCATTCATTCTAGGCTTTTGTTTTGCACTTTATTTACAGTATAACAATTTTTAGTTAAGTGAGACTGACAACAGCAGTTTGATATTTATTTCATGGGATGATTCAATCTTACAGACTATCTGATAGCAAGAGATTCTGCTGGGAATTCTTAAATGCCTTTATTTTCTTAAGATATTAACAATTTTGTAAGTTTTCATATTAAAGTGTGAAGTTAACGATATTGCAATATAACTTCTTAAAGTTTTATTTCATTTACCAAATGCAACTTAAAAGTCATAGTATTTGAGCTTTCTCTTGTATGTTTTAAGTCATTTGGAAGTTTTTAATAGTGTGTGAAAGGAAAGTAAGATTTCGATTAAAGCACTCCACCCTTTTCTAAAAGTCTTGGTGATGCAACATCTATTTAGAAATATGATCTTTTAAAATATAATAAGCATTCTTATCTGTTTAATCTTTTGAAACTTTCATAATTGTTTTCTGATTTAATGTTTCATAGATACAACTAATCTTTGCAGAAAAATTACCTATTTTGTATTTAAATTATTCTTAAATAATATATGACTTTAAAATGTAATCTCTTCAAATAGCACTTACATAGTTGATTTTCAAATTGATATTTAATGTTTTCATAAGATCTTAATATCAAAGACAGATGAAATTAGTTACTACTGTGCCTTTCAGCTTGGCAGATGCATTGATCCTTGCTTGATTTAGCACATTTTCTAAGACTTTTGAAAAAATATCTTGGCATTAATCAGCTTCAGTTTATCAGTTTTTCTTTTTCATTCTTAAATTGGTGTTGTGTCACATGCTCCTGGTGGAGGTGATTTCGTCTTTTAAATTCAGACTTTAATCAGTATGTAGTGTTTGTTTACTTTGGGCACTAGAGCTTAATGTATCACTAATGCTTTTTGTGTTTAACCTTTCTCAGGGTGTTTGAAGTAACTGGAATGAAATACTTATCATTAAACTTGAGCTCAGAGCAAAAAATAAAATTATACATGATTCTTCACTAAAACTTCTGGGATTTACTGGACATCTAACAAATTTTTTGCCTCTGTAAAATATCTAAGTGCTCAAAATTGTTGTAAGGACTTTTTTCACACATAAAGTTTGTCACTCTTACTTATTTTAAATTGTTCCAGTATGACCAGAATCATAGGCAATAGAAAGAAAAGTATGGAATTTAAAATGAGATAGGCCTCGGTCCAAATCCCTTCTCAACTGTGCTGACTTTGGTCAAATATTTTATCTCTTTTGAGTCTCTGTAAAATGAGGGCTTTACCTCAAAGGGGTTTTCTGAAGGATTAAATGAGATAATACATCTGAGAGACTTGGCACAGTGCCTCCCACATACTAAATGCTCAGGAGGTGGTTATAAAAATGATCCCTATATGGAATGATAAACTTCAACAGGAGTATGACTGAAGGTTCTGCCCTGCTCTTTCCTGATGTACAAATACATTACCTGATCTCAAGGCAGCACAACTCAGAGTTCATGTCCACTAACAGTGGGGCAGCAGTATACTTTCCATATGTGGAAGGACAGCATATCTTCATAAAAGTAATCAGTGAAAGTGTGAAAGTGTACCTAGTACAAATTGTGTAACTTTCCTGCTTTTATAATACCAATCTTTACCCTCGGCACTAAGCAGTTTTTCCAGTTTCATACTTTCTATCAAGCAACCAATAACTTGGGCAAATTTATTTTAATTACCATGGATTTTAATAGCATAGTATTTCCTGGAATGTTGGCATGGGCAGGTGATGACTAAGGTTAAGTACATTCATGTTATTGTACTTCGAAGGATACGCTTTTACTTTTTAGGTTCAGAACAATTTCATTACCTTCGTATTCAACAAACTTATTGACCAGCTAACACATAAAGGTACTTGTCTGGTGGCTGTTTTAGTAGCAAACAAATTCTGCCTTATAGAGCTTGTGTTTGAATAGGGACATAGACAACATGAAAAATAAAACCTATTGTATATTAGCAAAAACTGCTAAGGAGAAAAATAAAGCAAGAAAGGAAACAGAGTGGTTGGAGAAGGCCTCACTAAGAGTATATTTTTTGAGTTAAGACAAAAAGGAGGTAAAAAAATAACCTACACAGGTATTTGAGAGAACATTCCAGGCAGAAAGAATAGCAAGTATAAAGACCCTGAGGCAGGCTTGATATGTCCCAGGAACATTAAGGAAAAAGTGATATCACTGCAGAATGAGCTAAAGGGAGTGTAATAGGAAGTGAAGTCAGAAACTTGAGGTCAGAGGAAAGATCATGTAGGCTTGTAAGTCATAGTAAGGGCTTTAGCTTTTATTCTGAGGGAATCATTTGGGGATTTTGTGAAAGGTTTTGAGCAGAGGAATGATGTAATCCAACCCACATTTTAAAATGGCTGTTGAGTTTAGAATTTATTACAGGGATAGAAGGTGGAAGCAGGGAAATTAAATCAACTATTTCATTTGTCCATATGAGAGATGATAGTGCATTGAACCAGGATGGTAGTAGTAGAGGTGGTAAGAAGTAGTTGAATTAGATATCTGTTTTGTAAGTGGAGCCATTAGGTTTTACTGATGAATTGCATGTGCAGTATGTGAGAAAGGAGGAGGAGCGAAGCCAGGATTTTTGGTTAAAGCCACTGGAACATACAGAGATGGGCAAGACTGAGTGAAATCTGTTTGTGGAAAGGTCATCAGTAGCTCAGGTTTAGTTTTTGGTGGTACTGTGGTTTGAACTCAGGGCTTTGTGCTTGCTGGGAAGGTGCTCTGTGTAGCACTTAAGCCATGTCTCCAGTTCAATGGCTGTTTTGAGCATGCTAAATTTGAGGTTCTGATCTGACTTCTAAATGCATGCACTGAGGAAATAGTTGGCTATTCAGATCTGGTATTTCACAGAGAGAGAAATTTTGGTCTCATCACCATATATAAGATATAAAAATCTGTGAGACTAAATGAGATCACCATGGGAGTGAGTGTAGATAGAGAAGTGTTGAAGGACTGAGTCCTCAGAGGTCAGGGAGATGAGGAAGCAGCAACTCTTTTGCTTCTCTAAGGGATCAGACAGTAACTATTATGATTCAGTTGAAATGGTGGTTCCAATGAGTCCCTTCAGGAGTTGTCACAGCCTCTCCCCTATCAAAGCAATTCTTGTTTTCATCTATATTTTTATTTTCACATCCACGTAAGATTTTAATTCAACTGGACAACCCATGACCCATCACTAAATGATCTCTCTGGTGTCTTATCACCTGAATGCTCTTTGGGCATTGCCTACTACGTGTGTTTCTGTGTGCGTTTACGTCTCTGTGCTAAGCACTGAAGATTATGTAGAAGGCATTTCTCAACCTCTGAGACTTAAACCAAGTATGTATAAAAGGTTAAATATGCGTAGCATCTTGAACAGCTAAAAACATACAATGACGTTTAAATCCAAATAAATTATAAGCCTTTAAAAGGCTGCTTTCTAACGTCTTTGTATAGTTTTGACCCTAAGTTTGACAATTTCTTATTTGAGAGGGTGGTATTTGTCCCAGTGGACCATTGTGTAAATTTGAAGACATGCTCTTTGTATTCTGATATTATCCCTAAGAATTTATATATTCAAATAAATATTTTTAATTTCAAATTAATTACCATTTGGTACTCTTATATGCCCAATAAGAAATTATTTAAAAAATTATACATGCAGGTAGTTTATCATCTGGGACTATCTTTTAAGTTTTATTCAGTGGTATTACAAAATCTTTGTTATAAGATGTATTGGGTTTATAGAGTTGAGAACTACTGGTCTATCCTGTATAATTAGGTGCCCAGATGTTTAGAAATGACGTATAATATAGTCAAGTAGATATTCTTTATAATGTAGGAAAGTAGGAAGAGGAAAGATTATTGTGGATTTAGGTCATTGTAAGATTTCTGATGAAGGAGTGGATTATTAGAGGAGACTTTGCATATTTGAAGACACTTGACATACCTTATCTTGAAGAAATGAATGGCCAGACTTGTCAGGGAGACTGAGAAAGCAATTCTTATTTGTAGGGTAAATCAAAGAATTCAGAGTTAAAAGGGTCCAAGGAAATTGTGTGGGACAGAAATTCTTAGTTCAGGGTCCATTTCTTCTATGAGGTTAAGACCTACTATTAGTCTAATCCCAGACTTGATCCCAGACTCAGATGATTTGCCCCAGGTTATACAGCCAGTTAGTGGTAGAGATGAAGACTGAAACTTAGCAGCATTTAGTTTCTTGCTCATTTCACCATACTCAGCTGACAGACATTAAACAATGGCACAGGCAGGATTAAGCCACCATTTTGTAGTAATTGAGGCAAAGCAACTAGCCTGGGGTTAATACTAAGTTTGTTTCCATAAGAATTGAAGAAGGATGGGCATCAATTTATCTTGTCAAAGTGAATTAATATTTTAATTTTTATAATTGAAATATGCCAGCTCTCACCAGAAACTGTTTTCTTAGCTGAAGGCAGACTCCCTGAGATATTATTATCTCCGAGACTATTCTGCATTTCCTTTCCAATGGCACTGTTTTTCTGACCTGCCCCCAGTTTTCTGCCTGATCAGATCAAAGTTAACTTAGCATGATTGGTCAAATCCCATATTCCCATTGCCTCTCTAGCAAACACACACTCCATGCCCTAGTCAGACTATTGTCCTGGTTATTGGCACTCCCTGGTCTCCCAAAGTCCTTTCATTTCCTCTTCTGTATCCTTCTTTCTGTGGTTTCCCAGCCTGGGCTGCACTTCATTCTTCCTCCATTCCACATGTCTAACATACGGTCCAGCATAAGTCTAATCTCCACAGAGCCCTTTGTAGTTACTCTTGGTGATTTTGCATTTGCTCTGAATTCCTTTTGCATCTTTTGCTTGTACTGTACACCATCAAACTGGGTTATAGATTACCTCAGTGCTTTTCAGTGGTCACCTTGGGACGGCGGTTCCAGGAGGTCCTGGGTGGAACCCTAGACATCCCTAACCCCTGCTTCAGCCAGAGTAACTCCAGTGTTATATAGGGGCAGTTTGCATGAGTTTTCTTTTGAAGGAATGGTTTATCTACCCCCTTTGACTCCCCCAAATTTGAAAAACACCAGATCTATTGTATGGGCTAATTGCCTCAGATGTGTTAACTCATAATAGGCAGGGGCCAGGAGTTAATACCAGTCTGACTTATAATACTCCTCCCAGGCAACTGAGCAGATTTGAGCACAACTTGAACGCTTAGGAAATTACTATACAATCATATAGCTCCTGTTTAGGGAATAGAAGATAGTGGTCAGTATTACCTCAGAAATTCACCTTAATGAAAATGAAGAACTCAGAATAATACTTCTGGGTTGTTCTTTGAGAAATAGACCTAAATTTTTAGTCCATCCTTGTTTGCATAAAAAAACCTAATCCTATTTAAAGTTGTTTGGTTTATATATACATAGTTGAATGAAACCTCATTATTGATATACCTTACTATATTCTAGAGTTCAGCCAAACTTAAGTATCATATTTGTGCATTTGTGTAAGCATTAAAGTAATGCTACTCACCTGACTTACAGAATGATACACAGAGTACCAGTACACCTAAAAACCTGGAAATAATGAAATTTGGAAGTTTGTGCACTAAAACATTTCCTTAATGGTTGAAAATGAAAATGCTAGTCTTTCATGCCAGTTATTTCAGCTTTCTGTATCAAATCAATTATATGAACTAATAAAGATCTGAATATTTAAATAAATTATGCTATCAACTTGTTAATACTCTTGTTTTATTTTTTTCTCCTGATCTCTGCCTGGTTCATTGTCTTCATCTACAGGTGTACTTTATTGTCGGCTTCCAAAGATTACTAACTTTTATCTGTATCACTAAAATCAAACTGCCTTGGCTATATTGCTACTCTTATTGCTGCTTCCGTTATTGCCTTCCTCAGCAAAATAAGGCTTTCAGAAGCCAAAGAATAACACGAAATAAGCACCATTTTAGAAGCCTTTCCACTATGAAACTTAAACTAAATGTGCTCACCATTATTTTGCTGCCTGTCCACTTGTTAATAACAATATACAGTGCCCTTATATTTATTCCATGGTATTTTCTTACCAATGCCAAGAAGAAAAACGCTATGGCAAAGAGAATAAAAGCTAAGCCCACTTCAGACAAACCTGGAAGTCCATATCGTTCTGTCACACACTTCGACTCACTAGCTGTCATAGACATCCCTGGAGCAGACACCCTGGATAAATTATTTGACCATGCTGTATCCAAATTTGGGAAGAAGGACAGCCTTGGGACCAGGGAACTCCTAAGTGAAGAAAATGAAATGCAGCCAAATGGAAAGGTTTTTAAGAAGGTAATGAATTTTTGTACTTTTTAAATTTTATTTTTAAAGAGGAAGGTACATTTTACATTGTCATAAATCAATGGCATTTTGAGGTTGAGGATGTAGCTCAGTGATAGCATGCACAAGGCCCTGGGTTTGCTCCCCAGCACCACAAAAAAATTAATTAAATAAATAAATAAAGTGCATTTTAAGAATGCTGGCATTCTATTACAATGCTGTGTAACAAATTCTCAGAAGGTGCTCAGTTTCTGTATACTCACATAAGGGCATTTTTAGGGTTTTATACTTTGACTATTATAATTGCTTATTTAAATAAATATCCTAATATTGCAGAATGTCTTCTTTTAACAGTTAATTCTTGGGAATTATAAATGGATGAATTATCTTGAAGTGAATCGCAGAGTAAGTAACTTTGGTAGTGGACTCACTGCATTGGGACTGAAACCAAAGAATACCATTGCCATTTTCTGTGAAACCAGGGCTGAGTGGATGATTGCAGCACAGACCTGCTTCAAGTACAACTTTCCTCGTAAGTGCTTCATGTTTTTTGGCTTTGCTTACATATGGCACTTGTTCTGAGATGCTACTGTTTTCATAGTAGATGTTCTGGACTTGGGGGTGAGATAAAAGTGTTGCCTAGAATACAAGAGGCTGTGGGTTTGATCCCATGTACCACAAAACCATGAATAAGTAAAAATAAGCAAAAAAATCTTTGAAATAAAGTAGGTGTTCTTTAGCCATTTTTCTGCTTCATTTATGTCCATAAAACACTACATAATGTTGGGGCTAAACAATATCCAATAACTCCTGTTAAAGATGGCAATTTCTAAGAGCTAGTATGGGAATTGGCAATTTGGTGACTGTAATTTAGAATTTTACTTTTCAATTGGAAATAAATTGTACCCAAAATATTTGGGGATTGAAGGGTAAGGTTTTGGAAGTGATACACCAAATGACCAAAACAATAAAAACATTATTACTTTGGACAGTTTTAGTGATTGCTTTACTTTGAAGTCTCTTTATTTGACTTATTCCATTTTGTACATGAAATAAGCATGTGACAGCTTGGACTGGCATTATAGTTGTTAGAGAGTAAGTGGGATATATTTCTGATTTGTAAGCATTTGTTTTAACATTATACGAGAAATAATTTTTAAAAATTGAGTTCAGAACAATGTCTTGTCATGTGGAGAGTGGATTATAAGAAGCCTATGAGAACTGGGCATAAGCAAGTTGAGATGCATCTCAACTGTTTTTCCTAAGATGTTTATCTGTAGGCCAAGATTGGCACAGCCCCAGCCACAATAGAGGAAATTGCGGAACAGCTGCTTCTCCTAGGTTGTTTATGTTCAGAGAAGCAGGAATGCAGGTTTCTCCTGTTACAGTGTCATGCCCCTCCCCGAGAACTGCTGCTCCACCCTGTTTACCACTGGGTATAAAAGACTCACTGAAGGAGGATGCAAGGCTTTTGCTTTAGGGGCTTTTGCTTGTTGGCTTTTGGCTTTTTGATGTGGGAGGCTTTGGAAGGGAAAATAATTGCTGAAAAAGAATTGCTAAAGGGGAATTGTTAAAGAGGGGTTGATAGAAAGTCTGCACTGGGAACTTTATACATAGGCTTTAGAAAAGCTAAGCTAAAGAAAAGCTAAAGAGAACATGGGACAGTGCAAGTCTGAGCACCAAGGCTTTAAGAAAGCTAAAGAGAGAGCATGGGACTGTACAAGTCTGGGGATAAAGACTTTAAGAGAGATTATGCTAAAGAATAGCTAAGAGAAAACATGGGACAGTGCAAGTCTAAGGAAAGAGACTTTAAAGAACAGAAAAGAAGACTTTAAAAGCAAGGTTTTAGGGAAACACTTTAGAAGCAAGGTTTTAAAGAACTGTTAAGGAGTAAGTCCTTAAAGAATAAAGATAGAGAAAAGAAGGAAAGTAATGAAGAGAATAATAGAGAAAAAAAGCAATGAGGGTTGTGCGTCTCCACCTGAGCACCCCATACACCTAGCCCCAACTTTCTGTCTGTCTGCATATCCTGTTTTTCTACATCTCCAGTCACCCCCAATTAGCCCCAGTTAGGTTCAGTAATAACCAGGAGTGAGCTTAACCAGGATCCAACAAGGGAGCGGGAAAAAAAGCTCGCTCCATTGTCATATCCCAGCACTTGGTTATATGTTAAATGAATTAGGGCACCATAGATCTAGTGTAGGAATCAGTTTCCATTTCAAACAAACAAAAACAGATAATATGAAAATGATCCCTTACATAACCTGTCACCCAGCTTCAACAATCAACTGTGAAAAGTGGCCTTCAATCTTGGCTTCAGTTTATGTTATCTTTGCCTGGTGGCTCTTAAGAAATAGATCTACTTGGCCCCTCCAGGTAAGGTATGGAAGTCACCAATCAGATTGGAAATTGATGTCACTGCAAAAGCTTCTTATAAGAGGGAGAAAGGGTATAATTTGTGACTGGTCTTCCAACCTGAGATCCTCAAAATTTTCAAAAGTTTATTCTTCCTCTGGGGTTATCACCAATAGCTCTGACCTGAATTAAGAGTTCAGCCAGGAACCATTGGCTTTAGGCATCTCAGGTGACTAATTTTTGGCCAGTTGTGGCACTGCCAGTATTTCTGAGTATCTTCAGGTTTAAAAGGTTAGACTCCTGGGAATTTGCAAGACTAACTTTGGGGTATAAGAGAGGACCATGAAATTAATTTATAAGATGTTTTTGTGTCTATTGGTGTACCTGTCATGAAGGACTGGCTTAATAATGTAACTTTCTAATAAATGTTAATCATTTAATATTTGTGTTTGTTTATTATGTAGTTGTGACTTTATATGCCACACTTGGGAAAGAAGCAGTAGTTCATGGACTAAATGAATCTGAGGCTTCCTATCTGATTACTAGTGTTGAACTCCTGGAAAGCAAACTTAAGGTAAATAAGATATTTTAATTTTAAAACTTAAATTTCTTTTAAACTAATACATAGAACATAAAATTATAAATATTAATGGGGTATCATGTAATGTTTCACTGCATGTATACATTGCATAATGTTAAACACATCTGTCTCCTCAAACATTTAATCAGTTCTTTATGGTAAAAATGTTCAATATGCCTTCTTCTAGTTCTTTTTTTTAAATATACAGTACATTATTGTTATCTGTAGTTAGTTAGCTTCAATATACATAAAATGCTTACATGGTGTAATGTTTAATAAACATATCTGTGTCCTCAGATATTTATCATTTATGTTAAAAACTTTCAAAATCCTTTCTTTTACCCTTTTGAAGTGTACAATGCATTATTATTGTCTATAGTCACATACTGTGCAGCAGCACTCCAGAACTTCTCACTCCTATCACACTATGACTTAGTACCCATTGATTGACCTCTCCACATCCCTCCTTCTACTTTCCCCAGTCTACTCTCTACTTCTGTTAAATCAACTATTTTAGAGTCCACACATGAATGAGGTCATGTGTTACTTGTCTTTCAGTGCCTGGCTTATTTTGCTTAATAATCTCTAGTTCTACATATGTTGTTACAAATGACAGGATTTCATTCTTTCTGATGGCTGAACAGAATTCCACTGCTTACATGTACCACATTTTCTTTATCTAGGCATCAGTTGATGAATACTTATGTCATCTCCATTTCTTGACTATTGTGAATAGTGCCACAATAAACACAGGAGTGCAGATTATCTTTTCTACGTACAGATTTCATTTCCTTTAGATGTGTGCTCAGAGGTGGGATTGTTGCATCTTCTGGTAGTTCTATTCGTCATATTTGAGGAGCCTGTGTACTGTTTTCCTTAAGAGCTGTGCTGACTTACAGTCCCACCATCACTGTGCGAGGGTTCCCTTTTCTCCACAAACTTGCTAACATTTTTTGATATCAACATGGGATGAAATGATATCTACATTATGGTTTTGATTTGCATTGATCAGTGATTTTGAACATTTTTTCATGTACCTGTTAGTCGTGTATATGTCTTCTTTTGAAAAATGTCTATTTAGATCTATTGCCCATTTTTAATCGAGTTGGTTTCTTTGCCATTGCTCTTGCTAGGCAGATTCTCTAACACTTGGGCCATGCTTCCAGCCCTTTTTTGCTTTAGTTATTTTTTAGATAGTATCTCACATTTTTGCCTGAGGCCAGCCTTAGACTGTGATCTTCCTGCCTGTGCCTCCTGAAAAGCTAGGGTCACATATGTGTGCCAACACACCCAGCTTATTGGTTGAGATGGGGGTATTGCTAACTTTTTTTTTTTTTGCCTGGGCTGGTCTCAATCCACGATCCTCCCAATCTCTGCCTCTCTAATAGCTGGAATTACAGGCATGTACCACTATGCCTAGGCTGCTTATGAGTTTCCTATATATTCTAGATGTCGACCCCTTGTCAGATGTACATAGTTTGCAGATATTTTCTCCCATTCTATAGGTTGTCCTTTCAGTTTGGTGATTGCTTCCTTTGTTGTGCAGAAGATTTTTAGTTTGATGTAAATTGATTTATTTTTGCTTCTGTTTCCTGTGCATTTGGGGTTTTGTCCAAAAAAATCATTACCCATTCCAATGTCCTGAACTGTTTCCCCTATGTTTTTATCTAGTAGTCTCATAGTTTTTTGCCTTTCTTTTAAGTTTTTAATCCATTTTGAGTTGATTTTTATAACTGGTGAGAGATAGGGATCTAGTTTCACTCTTCATCTGAATATCCAATTTTTACAACACCATTTATTGAAAAGACTGTTCTTTCTCCCAGGTGCATTCTTAACACTTTTGTTGAAAATCAGTTGGCTGTACATAAGTGGGTTATTTCTAGGTTCTATGTTCTTTTTCACTGGTCTCTGTGTCTGTTTTTATGACAGTGCCATACTGTTTTGATTACTGTATCTTTGTAGACTATTTTAAAGTCATATTGTGTACTCTGTCCTGCTTTTTTTTGTTTTTTGATCAAGATTGCTTTGGCCCTTCAGGGTTTTTATTGTTTAATATAACATTTTGGTAGGAATTGCATTGAATCTGTAGATTGCTTTAGGAAGTACAGACATTTTAGCTATTGGCTTATTATAAATGTCCTTTATTATGCTGTGGTACATTCCTTCTATGCCTAAAATTTGTTCAATTTTTCTTCTGTACATAATTTGTTCAGTGTTTTATCATGAATGGGTGTTCAGTTTTGTATTCTGCATGTATTGAGGTGATCATAAGGATTTTTCCCTTCATTCTGTTGACATGGTGTATCATATTTATTGATTTGCATATGTTGAACAATCCTTGCATCATTGGGATGAATAATCTTTTTAATGTGCTGTTGGATTTAGTTTATTTTTAAAAAATATTTTTATTAGCATATATTAATTATAGAAAATAGTGGGTTTCATTATGACACTTTCATGCATGTTTTTCATACATGTTTTTTCGTGTTTCATAAAAGCATGATCATGTCTTTGCATCTATAGTCATTGAGGAGATTGACCTGTGGTTTTCTTTCTTTTTTGTGTATGTCCTATCTGGTAATGCTGGCCTCAGAATGTGTTTAGAAAAAGAGCCCTTCCTCGTCAATTTTTTTGGAACAACTAAAGAGAATTGGTATTATTTCTTCAAAATGTTAGGTAGAACTCAGCAATGAAGATATCTGGTCCTGGGCTCTTCATTTTTTATTATAAATTTTTATTAGGATTTATTCATTAAACAGGGGGGATTCATAGTGACAATTCTGATTCAAATTGTATTATACATTATTTACATTGCTCCCACCCCACTTAAAGCAATTACAAGAGGCTTTTTAGTTCTATTTCATATAGGTATATGAAGTCCATCAACCATATACCATCACTTTAATCTCCTTCATTCACCCTTCTCTCTCCTACTAGTACCCCCCCCCCACACACTGTGCCTGTTTTACAGTTCTGATTTTTGTTATTAATGTTTAAATTGACGTTCAGAGGGGTGTCTCAATGTATGCCTACTTTGGTCTGTTCAATCCCTTTGAATACTCTCCCTTACCCCTTTACCTACCACCCCCCGTTTTTCAACAGCTTTCAATACACATCCTTTTATCCTCTACCTTCACATCTTATGTTATGAAATATTACTGATGCTCTATCATTCTCTTTCCTTTCCCTCCTTCCCCAAGTTCCATAGAGTAGCTCCACTGTTACAAACATGTTCTACATCTGGGTTGTGTAAATTTTTGTCTTTGGACCTATCTTCCACTTTGAGAAAACATGTGCCTTTTGTGTTTCTGATCCTGGCTAACTTCACTTAGCATGGTATTCTCCAATTGCATCCATTTACCTTCAAACCCTATATCGTTATTCCTTATGGCTGAGTAATACTCCATTGTGTATATGTACCACAATTTCATGATCCATTCTTCAGTTGTAGGGCATCTGGGCTGTTTCCAGAGCTTGGCTATTGTGAATAGTGCTGAGATGAACATTGGTGTACAGGTGTCTCTACTGTTTCCTGTCTTATGTTCTTTTGGGTAGATAAATTCTGGGGTTGAACTCAGACTACACCTTCAGCCCCTCCACCAGCCCTTTTTTGTGGTGGATTTTTCAAGAGAGGGTCTTGCGAACTGTTTGCCTGGGCTGGCTTTGAACCACGATCCTCCTGATCTCTGCCTCCTGAGTAGCTAGGATTACAGGTGTGAGGCACCGGCACCCAGCCTTGGCTCTTTTTTAAGGGCGACTGATTCAATCTCATTACTTGTTCAGGTTTTCTGTTTCCTAATAATTTACTCTTGGTAAGATGTAGGTGTTTGAGAATCTGTCTATTCTAGATAATCATTTTTGCATATAGTTATTCATAATAACTTCTAATGATCTTTCATATTTCTGTGGGGTCAGTTATAATACCTGTTTTCACCTCTGATTTTTACTTATTCCATGTCTTTTTCTTAGTCTAGATAAGGGTTTGTATTTTGTTTATGTTTTTGAAGAATTACCTGTGTGTTTTGTTGATCTTTTTTGTCTCTATTTTGTCTACTTCTGCTCTGGTCTTTATTATTTCTTTCCTTCTTGTAATTTTGGGTTTCACTTATTCTTGTTACTCTAGTTCCTTGACATGCAGTGGTTGACTATGATAGTTCTAGTTTTTAAAATATTTTTTGCAGTAAATTTGAGCTATGCCCTAGCTCTTCTTTTCTACTTTTTCAGTGTAGGCATTGATTGCTATAAATGCCCTGCTTAGTACTGCTTGTTTGTATCTTATAGGTTTTGGTATTTTTTCATTTGTTTCAAGAACTCTTAAGGTTTCTTTCTTAATTTCTTCCTTTATCAATTTTCATATATTTGTATTGTTTTCAAAGTTTTTCTGGTTATTTATTTCTAGTTTTGTTGTATTGTGGTCAGAAAAGATACTTGATATGATTTCAGCTTTTGAAGTTGTTTTGAGATTTGTTTTGTGGCCTATCTTATATTCTGTCTTGGAGAATATTCCATGTGCTGATGAGAAAAATGTCTACTCTGTATGTATTAGATGCAAAGTTCTGTAGGTATCTGTTGGGTCTACTTGGTCTAAGGTGCAACTTAACTCTGATGTTTCTTTGTTGACTTTCTGTCCAGATGATCTGTCCATTGCTGAAAGTGGAGTATTAAGGTCCTAACTATTGTATTGAAGTCTCTTTCAGTGTATTAATACTTGCTTTATATATTTGGGCATTCCAATATTGCATGCATGTATTTAGAATTGTTGTTTCCGCTTGCTGAATTAATCCCTGCATCATTATATAATTACCTTCCTTGCCTCATTTTATTGCTTTTGGTTTAGAGTCTATTTTATCTGAGATTAGTATGGCTACTTATGCTTTCTTTTGGATTCCATCTGCATGGTGTATCTCATTCTATCCCTTCACTTTCAAAGTATGGATGTCCTTAGTGATGAAGTGAGTTTCTTATAAGCAACATATAGTTAGGTATTTTTTCAAAAATCTGTTCAGTCACTCTGTATCTTTTAACTGGATAATTTATTCCATTTACATTCTAGTGGTGTGTTTTGATTCCATATTAGTTTTGGTTTGTCTATTTGTGGTTACCATAAAGCTTACAAAAATATTTTGATTATAACAAGCTATTTTGAAATGATAGCAACTTAACATGATCATAAATATTAGAAATAAAAAAGAGAAAATACACTAATAAGAAAACTATATTTGTACTCATTCCCTCCAACATTTTGAGCTTTTTGAGACAGGGACTTGCTGTGTAGCCCATAATGGCCTGGAACTCACTATGTGGCCCAGACTGGTCTCAAACTTATGATCTTCCTGCCTCAGCTTTTCAAGTACAAGGATTATAGGAGTGTACTACCATAGCCAGCCACATTTTGAATTTTTGATAACTCATTTTACATGTTTCTGTATCACCTGTCTCTTAATACATTAATGTGATTATTGTTATTTTAAATTGCTTTGTTTTTTAGTCTTTATCCTAAAGAGATGGATGATTTATACGTCATGTATAGTATTAGAGCACTCTGAATTTGTCTGTACAGTTAGTTTTTCTTAATACTAGGATTTTCTTTAACAGTAGTGTTAACTGGTAGACTGGAAAATGTTCAATGAGAAAGTTTTTGTGGCAGGCCCAAATTTAATAGATGAGTTTTCTTTCTATTCAACAGACTGCATTGTTAGATATCAGTTGTGTTAAACACATCATTTATGTGGATAATAAGACTATCAATAAAGCAGAGTACCCTGAAGGATTTGAGATTCACAGCATGCAATCAGTAGAAGAGTTGGGATCCAAGCCAGAAAACTGTAAGTAGAGCAGTTATAATGAATTTATTCATCAATTTAAGGTTTGTTATTTCAGTAGGGTAGGAAAAGAAGTGACATGAGTGAAAACACTAAAGTTCTTTGATTAAAATAAAGTTTTGTAAGTACATGTAAAAACGATATAAAAGTAAAGTTTTGAAATGTTTAAAAGATGCCAAGACTACAGGTGATTAAGATTTTTCCTCTTTCTCTTCAAAAAGGTAACCATTGCTTAAAATTTGCTTAATAGTTGACTTGTAATAAATGGTTTAGACTTTATGACACTGCCAAACATATCTTTAAAAAAAACTAACCCACAATGAACTTCCAATTTAGACTCATAAAAGGAAGATATCTCAGACCTTCTATTCAGTAAGTGTATTTTTTAAATGTTACTGATCATTTTTTTTCAATACTTGGTTTTGAACATAGGGCTTCATGCTTACTAGGCAGGCTCTCTACCACTTGCACTGTATACCTCTAGCCCTTTTTGTTTTGGCTATTTTGGAGATAAGGTCTCGTGTCCTGGACTACAATCCTCCTATTTTACACTTCTTGCCAAACCAGGCTCACAGGGTGAGCCACCATGCTCAGCTTTTTTTCTTAAGATGGGGGTCTCACAAACTTTTTGGCCCAGGCTGACCTTGAACTGAGATCTTCTTAATCTTAGCCTCTGTCATGGCTTGGGATGACAGGCGTGGGCCATTGTGTCCAGCTATTGGGTGAAATGGGGTCTCACATATATTTTGTCTGGGCTGGCCTCAAACTGTAATCCTCCTGATCTCAGTCTCCCAGGGAGCTAGGATTACAGGCCTGAGTCACTAGTTACTAATGTTAGTGATCTTAGTGATATCTCAGCAAAATTATGCTTGGATTTATTCTACCGCTGAAGTAGTAGTTGGTATTTCATTGAAAACAAGTAAATGTACTTTGTAGCAAAATGTCAGTTCAGATGGTCACTAAGAGAGTAGAGGAAATTAATACTCATGTAAAAAGTTTTCTTCTTGTGTTAAACATGAAGGCCACAGTACTGTACAGGTGAGGAAAGGATTCATTTGAGCCAGAGAAAATGTTGGTTGGTCCTCTACTTAGCCTCTGAGTATTTTACCATTAGAGAATGGAATATGTTTACAATAACAGGGATAGATTATAGCTTTCAACCATGTCTTAAAAATAGCAAAGAATCTGTGTGAGATTTTACCCTACTTGAAAGTGAACAAGTGAGCCTGCCAAATTTGGAGACAGTTTTTGTTTTGTTTTGTCTTGTTTTAACTTAAAACAGTAGTCAGAGTATCATATTAACATTTATATAATAGGAAAATAATTCTGAGCTTTGAGAACCCAAATATTTCATTATCATCATTGTTCTGGATAGTTAAGCAGACCTGCTGTTTACTCTGGGGAGAGAGACTATCTCTGTATACATATCCTTGAAAAGAAAGTCTGGAGCAAATCAGTGCCTCTGCATTTAAGATATTCAGAAATGCAAGAGATCTGTGGAGAATTGTCTCTCAACACTAGGTTGACCCTGCAAGATTGAGGTATACTTGGCTGGAAAGTTCTGATTGATAAGGGCTCCATTGCCATTCATCTGATTCACCAGGGCATGTTGGCACAAAATTTAAGAGGCTGTCTGTCAGTCCTCATAATTTTGTTTGAGCAATAAACATGACAGGCCACAGTCTTACTTCCATTCCTCTCTGGGATCCATACATTTTTGTGGTACTTTACCTGAGTAGACCATTATGAGTGTGATGACACTTTTTGCCCATTTATTAAAAACCGGCTAGATGAGAAGAGTCACATTGTGTGCTTAGACTGGAAAGAATCTGATCTATCTATTGTTGCTGCTTCAGTTAATTATCAAAGGAGATATGCAGTCTCTATTTGCTTGGTTTAGAATACTGATGGTGTTTTTAAAAAGCACTCAATTTGGCCAGTTTAAGTATCTAACTTGGTGTTTAGATGTTTCTGTGGTATATCTTGCTTTTAAAATTTTTAATTTTAACTGCTATATAAAATGTAAATAATTTTTAAACAAATTTTTATTCTACTAATCTTTAATTGCTTTTTAATTTTGATGATACATCTGTGCATTCTTGGCTGCCTTGGTGTATTCTGGGAAGGAAAGGAGGTTACTGTGTTAGCTGTGTCCAGTGTGCCATTTTAAAGTTAGTACCTTAGAATTTTAGAATTGAAGTCACCTTAAAGATCAAATCAGTAGTTTTCAATTGGATTTGTATGAGACCTTTTGTTCCATCTCAGACATACAGAATCTGAATTTTCAGAACTAGTATTTTGTTTATGCTCTGCAGGTGATTCTGATGCCCACCAGTGGTTAAGAACCATAATCCAGTTCATTCTACTCAGTTTAGAGATGAGAAAACTGACTTGAGGAGCTTACACACAATACACTGTACTCCTGATTGTCTAAAGCCCCAGAAAAATTTCCACAAAATGACTGCACAACACTGTGAAGAGGCATGAGCAGACAGGGTTTAGGCTAACCATACAGAAAATGAGCCAAATTCAATTTGAAATTCTCATTGCAGCCAATCAAAATTTGGTAACAATTTTTGTTTTGATTGTCAATACAGATTATTTTCTTTAAATTGTTTCTCATCATGCAAAATCAAAATGTCTTATTGCCAAGTAATTTAACTGTTGAACTGAAGAAAATGTGGTGTTGTTTCATTCATTTAGCAAGCATTCCTCCAAATAGACCGTCTCCTTCAGACATGGCCATTGTCATGTATACCAGTGGTTCTACTGGTCGACCTAAGGGAGTGATGATGCATCATAGCAATTTGATAGCTGGAATGACAGGCCAATGTGAAAGAATACCTGGACTAGGGTAAGAGAGAATTATTCAACCTTATTCTTAGAAATACAGAGTTCATGTTCGGCATTCTCTAAACTCAGTCTATATTGAAATGATAACTTTTTGATTTTTTTTAACTTAAAATGCCTTTTCTTTTTAAGACAGGATCTCACTATCTTTCCCAGGTTGCTGTCGAACTCTGATCTACCTGCCTCATCCTCCCGAGTGCTGGGATTACAGGTGTTCACTGCTATTCCTCACTTTAATAAAAATACCCTTTCAAGATTAGCTAAAATGTTTCTCTTATTTTGTTTTAGACCAAAGGATACATATATTGGGTATTTGCCTTTGGCTCATGTGCTAGAATTGACAGCAGAAATTTCTTGCTTTACCTATGGCTGTAGGATTGGATATTCTTCACCGCTTACGCTGTCTGACCAGGTGACAAACTTTTCAGTGTTCATGATCATATTAAGTTACCATGTTTGGGTTGTTACTAAAATGAGATATTTTAATTCACTTAAAACTTTTTCTGTGACTTCAAAAATAGCTTTTGTGATTAGTGTGTCTGTGATAAATGACCCTATGGATCTGTTAGCACTGCTTTAGCTGCATATGTTAAAATTTTGAAATGAATAATTACTTTCATCTTGTCTTTTTGTGTTAGATTTTTATTCTGGAGAATTAAGATGCAGTGCATAAATACACTGAGTCTTTTTGACATATTAATTGGGAACATTGACAGATTCTTTTGGAGGAGATAAGGGATTTAGCCTAATTTTCTCTAGACCTGTGTTGTTTAATACAGTAGTTACTCAGCACATTTTAAAAAGAAATAACTAAAATGAGATTTTAGTAATTTTGGTTCTCATCTCTAGCCACATTTGATGTTCTCATTAAGTATATGTGATTACGTCACAGCACGGATAAGGAGTATTTCCATCTGTGCAGAAAGCACTATTGGACAGTACTGCAGTATCTCCAAGGGCAGCCCTCAGCTTGCTATACTGAAACAGGGTTCTCCCTTCTCCTTGTTCACAGCAGAAGGTCCCAGCAGCTGGGGCGAACTCATGTAGTTTAAGCATGCTTGAAATTATACATTGAATATTTATTGTCCATAGTTCTGGTACATTTCTTCTTTGGAATGGTTGCTATGAAAAAAACCTTAAACAGGCATAGGGGGTTGAAAGAGCTACTGCAGTTGCTGTGGGGTTTGGAGTCTGAAAGTTAAAGTGAGTATAGTTAGGAATGACTTGACTCTGTACGACTCTGCTGCTACCATCCTTGCAGGCCCAGCAGCTATTTTTCAGACCCCCCCAGGCAGCAGTGCCTTTTGTTTGGGAGTCTGATAGAGTATGCAGTTCATAAGGAAATGTATCCTTGGTGCTCAGACTTGGAAATTGTAGTACTTTTGTTGTTTTTGTAGAAATACCAGTTTAGGCAGGGGTTAGGTAGATTGTACAGTAGTAAGACAAAAAAAAGTTAAATCAGTTTTTTAGATTTGAGAATTCAGTCACCTTTTTGTGTTTCAATTTTTGCTTTTGATGTTTAGTTTAAAGTTCATGTATGTTATGTGCACTACTTAATTAGATTTAATATACACATGTAGACCTCTGTTGTTCACCATGTAGATCAAAAAGGATGCTTTCAGCATCCCAGAATGTCTCTGTGCCCCCTCCTACTCATTACCACATTACCACCCCACAGAGATAATCCATTCTTCTTTTTTGTGTAGTTTTTTGAGACAGAATCTCTCTGTATAGATCAGGCAGACTTGTGTCTCACTATACAGCCCAGGCTGACCTCACACTTGGGATCCTCCTACCTCCATCTCCTAAGTGCTGAGATTACAAGACTTGCGCCTCCATGTCTGGCCAGCCATTCTCCTTTTAAAGTGGATTTTTCTATGAAAAAGTGTTCTGTTCCAAACATCTGTCACCTTTGTATTTTGGAGGACATAACCAGCTTGTAAAATGGGGTGTTATGTATTTAATATAACCATACCTAACTCAACCCAAATTTCACATTTAAACTCTGATATGATAGTAATAGGATAAGTAAGCTGTCAAATAAACTAATAAACTGAACTTGATCTATAAAATTCAAGGTAGATCTATGGTTAAGACTGAGACTTTATTGTAAAAAGTTTAAAAAATCTGTGAGGATTATGTATTGAGGCATTAAATGGGTTTTTCATATGTTCAGTGACATCATCAAAATGTAAAAACATTTCCATAAGCTTTGAGTATGTTTTTCCCCCTTTGGGGAAGTTCGAAGCCAGAGACTAGCAATCCCTTCCCCCCTTTTTCACTGCCTTTCTGAGAACAATAGCCTCAGTGTGGGTAAGGAGGAGCAGTTGGAGTGTATTGCTGGTCCGACTTAATTCTTGTTGTCTTTTAGACCATGCTTTAGTACATTGCGAGCCTGTTAAATAAAAATTCACACCTACCTAATTTTTAAATGAATTTTGCTATAAAGATTCTGAATTTTACTAGGAATCTAAAACTCAAGAGTCATCCTCACATAGAAAAGCAGAAAAACATACGAAACCAGAGGCACCACATTTGAAGCTAGCAGATGATAGTGATATTGTTATTATTGTAGTAGCTGTGATCTTAATAAGATAAAATAACTTATAAATGCAGGGTGAGCATCCCTAACCTGAAAATATGGACTCCAAAATCCGAAACTTTTTGAGCCACAAGTGGAAAACTCCACCCCTGACCTCATGTGACAGGTCACAGTCAAAATACAAGAGCACTGAAAATAAATAAAATTATTTCAGGCTATGTGTATAAAGTGAATATGAGGCATAAATGAATTTGATGTTTAGACTTGTGTCTCATTCCAAGATACTTCATCATGCATATTGCAAATATTCCAAAAACTGAAAAATAATCCAAAATTTGAAACACTTTTGGTCCCAAGCATTTTGAATAAAGGCTACTCAACCTTTATTACTAAGAATACTAAAGAAAATAGGAAGGGCTCTTTGTGATTCCTGCTACCCTAGAACTGCTCTATATAGTAAAAATTGGTCAGTAACACATAAAGGTCAACTCCCTACTTGAAGAACTTGAAAGCTCATTTTCTCTTTACAGAGCAGCCCTCTTGTGCCTGGTGTGCATGCCTATAGAAGGTTTCCAATCACAAATGTACACATACTTGCCCATGTATAAACCACAAGGAGTTATTTTGTCTCCTTTATCCATATTAAAGAAAAGTAGGAGAAAAACAATTTAGTTCTACCAGCAGAACCTTCTATATGGCCAAGTTGGTAGTTCTTGTGGATCACACTACTATTTTAGGGCTAGTTTTCTTCTTCCCTTCTTCACACTACTATTTTAGGGCTAGTTTTCTTTCTTAGCCCCTGACTAACACATGCTACATCTAAACTTACAGACTAATAAATTGCATTTCAGATTATTTTATCTACCTTTTTCGGTGGATGACTTTATCATTTTGTCTACTGACTGATCTGATGCTTAAAATCCCAAATATTATGTATGTATAAAAGAAAGGAGGGAAGGCAGGAAGGAAGGGAGGGAGGGAGGAAGGGAAAGAGGGAGGGAAGGAAGACATATTTTATGTGTTTATGTATATATATGCATATCTCTGCTTGGCTACTGGCAGTATCCTGCCTATGCTACCACTTGGAGTATTACCAAATTAGGATTTCTGTATGTTAATTGATGCTCATAGTGGTGCTTTTGAAATGTTTCTTTGCCTATTGATTAACCAAAGAAGTTCAAGTTACCTTCAGTTTTGTTTTAGTGTTAATTGTTTAATGGAACTTTGTTTTGAAAATTTAGTCTGTATAAAAAATTACCTTTAATAAAAACCATAGTATGTGCTACATTTGATGATACATTATTGGTAAGAATCATTCATTGACCAAAATATCCTATCCTATTGTCAATCTGGATCAGAATAGCTCTTCTAAGGAAAGCCAACACATACTGGAAGCCATAATCTGCAGGATAAAGCACTAAAGCAATTACATTTCAGACTTTAGGCTATGGTAGTTGTAATGGATAACTCAGAGCAATAGATCAAATTCCATGTGTACATCTGTTTTAGTTATTAATACTTTAATTACTCCATTTTTTTGCTAAGGTTGATTTCCCTGATCATGTTTACTTTTTCTTTAATGTAGTCAAGCAAAATTAAGAAGGGAAGCAAAGGTGACTGTACCGTACTGAAGCCCACTCTTATGGCCGCTGTTCCGGTAAGTATATATAGAGTATGAATATGAACAGAACGGGGTCACTTAAATAATTTCTTGCTTACGTTTCTATTTATTACAAAGTAACAATCTTAAAAATATGCATACATTTTTAAATAATTGTACTTTGTTGAAATCATGGCAAATGTGTTCCTTAAAATCTTAGATATATTGAGAGAGATAAGATGGCAAATTCCTGAAATGTATGCTGATACTTGAAAATTAGGTGATGAAAATGACTTATTCAAATTACCTCATGTGAGAAGTAGAATATGCTCTAAAGATCATTTTGTTTAATCTATTAATTTTTAAAAATGAGGAAACTCTAGGCTGCCCTCAGAGAGATGAGGCAGCATTTCCAGGGTTATGGAGTTGATTAGTGACAGAGCTGAGCCTAGGATGTGAGCCTTCTGTCCTTCTTAGCATGACCAAGGAAAGTGCGAATTTGAAAGAGATCCCCAAAGAAAAAAGTTTATTTCTAGATATTCAAAATACTCATGTAAAATACTGCCTTTTTAAGAAACAGGATATTATATTTTTATGCCTTGTAATGATGAATTTTAATACAGTATATCAAATTTGCATAATTAAACATATTCTAGCACTTGGAAAACCCCAGGGAGATTGTACATCACTATTGCTTGTATTGCAATCAGACTTTAAATCTTATCCCACTATCTTTCATAGAATTACTTTAATATGTGGAATGTCCAAATTAGATAATCAAATGTTCAGTCCAGGTTTTTCTAAGCATTGCAGATGCTTAGAAAAATTAGAAGCCTTTTTAGCTTCTAATTACAAAATTACCAAATAATCAAAGTATTAGGTCAGAGAAAACTCTGCTTTTTTATTTAGAAGAGCTGTAGAATTCAGCAGATTTTTGAGACTTCTGACTAAAAACATCATGAAGTGATGCTAAGGATAGCTAGCGTAGTGCTTACTATGTTCCAGGCTAATCCTTCTCCTAAGACTTCTAGGTGGGTCCTGTTATCCCCATTTTATAAAGAAAGAAACTTGCCCAAAGTCTCACAGCTTGTAGGTGATAGACTTAAAGCTTGAATTCTATCAGTCTGATGTCAAAGTCCATGACTATCTACTTAGGACTGTTTTGTGTTTTGTTTTTGCTTTATTATCTGAAGTATAGGACTCCCTAGTAAAGTGCATCCTTATGTAGGAGGGGGAAGGGCCAAGGTGTCAAGGAAGTAATCTCTGATTTTAGGCATATTGTGTCTTCAGAGAATCACTTTGGTAAAGATGAATACCTGGGTTTCTTTGCCTTGTGTGTTATTCAGACTTTCATCACTCTGACCAACTACCTGAGAAACAATTTAAAAGAAGGAGGAATTTATTTTGGCTCATAGTTTCAGAAGTTTCAGTCCATGGAGGCTGATTCCATGTTTCTGGGCCTGTAGTGAGGCAGTACATCTTAGCATAAGGGAATAGAAGAGGAAAACTTCACCTCATGACAGCCAGGAAGCAGAGCCAAGTAAGATACAGTCCCCGAGGATATGTCCCCAGTGATCTACTTCCTCCAGCCAGCACCACCTTCCACAGTTCCACTAACTCCCAATAGTCTGTTCAGAGTTTGAATCCATTAGTGGATAAAACCATTAATTAGGTCTGGGCCCTTATGACCTAGATGTCTCTAGAAATGCTCTGCAGACACATCCAGAAGTGTTCTTTACCAAGTTCCTAGGCTTCACTCAATCCAGTCAAGTTGACAACCATCATGTATAATTTCTGATTGGTTCCAGCCAATTGGAGGGACTCATGAAAGAACAGAGGGTAGAAAGATAGAGGGAAACCTGCTTCTGCTCCTTCCCTACTGGGCTGTGAGTTTGGCTATTATCAATCACTTGTAGGACAGCTTCTGTCCTATTAGCTGTAACCAGGTCTTTTCCATGACTATAGTCCTTACCCAATTTCCAGTGATACCTTCCTCTTACTTTTCAAGTCTAGCGACAGTAAATGGTGCTTCACCAAACCTTGTTTGTTCCCTTAGTTCCTCCAATTCTTCTAAAAATAGACTTTTTTAAAGACAGGAATGAATCTATTTTTTAAAGATGGGAATGAATCTATTGAGAATTATTGTTGATAGATTCTATTTATTGAGTTTGTTTATTTCCTGGGAGAGAATAGATCAGATTAGTACTATTAATATTCACAATGTGAGAATTCAGAACAAATCACTTCTTATAAGCAGTAACAAAATTGAACATCATGTAATATTAGCTTGAGATAAAGGGTGATTTGATAAGCTAACAATAAATCCTGCCAACTTGTTAGAACTGTATCGTGTTTATTCGCTGAGGCTTTTCCATACCTGTAAT